AACCTTCACTGTAGGAACTCAAAATACTGGAAGTCAATGGCTGATTTCAGTATTTGTGTTCAACACAAGAAAGAATCTCCAACAGGTTTGAGGAATAAATTATGACAGAATATTCACGTTTATGTGAACTGTCCCTTTTAAGAAACTACCTAAAATTCTTAAATGTTTCTAGTCAATTTTATTTCTTATCTTTAAACAGCTACTCTGACATGTTCGGTGTGTTTTAGCATTGTTTTAGTAATTAAAATTCATAAACCTAATTTACCATCAACAGTAGCTCTTCTGGGGAAACAGGCTTGGAAGAGGGGCGGGTCATCGGTTATCGGATGACGGTGGTTTTCTGTCATGTTGCCGGTGGATTTAAGCGGCTCACGGGGTGGTTCGTGTGCACACTTGATACCGAACGCTTTCTTTAAACGGGAAATTAACTTTGAAAAGGCCATTTTATCACCGTTGTGTGGAATCGCAGTAAATACTGAACTACTAGTCGTCGAAAGAAGCAATGAGGGTTTCTGCTTGATTCAGTCAGCGTTAATTAGCCACTAATGATGTCAGAGTTACGTGGTTCCATTTGGAACGCGAAAGAACATTTTCAAAACACGCGGGGACTTTTTAAATCACAATAACTTAAACAACTAATGCAGGGCCGCGCTAGACTGACTGGCTAATTCGCCTTAAAGTGCCCACACACCTAGTGTATATTATATCTACATTACGTGATTATATATTTATTTATTTAATTATTTGTAGTTAGGCCTACTTTTTAAACATGCACAACTTTTTCTGCGTGTTGCTTATTATTACCATATAGGCATATGTATAATTAATTATTCCTCCTACCACAAGCTTTGAGCTACTCCAAAAAAAAAAAATAAACAAATATATATATATATAAATAAATATGTGTGTGTATATAATGTAATGTAATTTTTAACATTATTATTATATAGTTTTTGAAATAACTAACTTTACTAATAGTTTATAAAACAAACAATTTGTATTACTCATACTACAAGACTATTAATTTTAAATATTAGACAAAGAAAATTAGATCTCCCGTGAAATCATAACTTAATCCCACACATTGTACCCCACGCAACCGCATTTACAGTTAAATTATGTGATTGTAACAAACATAACATAACACAAACATAAAAAATAAACACCAAAGTAAAAAACGCAGAAGCAAAAGAGAAAATAAATAGAAGAAAAACTTGACAAACTCAGTTAATTTTATGTAAGCACTGAATGAATAATGATATAGTCTTAATAAACTGAAGTAAAAGTTGTGCTAAAAAGCTATTCTGTTTAGAAATGTGTAAAAAAAAAAAAAACTCTCCGTTAAAAAGAAATCAGGCGAATAAAATATACAGGGAGGGGGGGTTGCAGGTGAGCTCATGGGAGTTGTGGTTTTGTGGTGTCGCATTGCGATTAGTTTTTATTTCACATGAAGTCTACAATTTAAAAATTATATTTAATCTACCAGATCACGGATGTCTAACCTGCCACAGCTAAAAACCTACCCACATTTGGCCAGTGATAATGTCATTGCCTAGTCATGTCCTATAAATATTATTGACGTTCCTTCACATGAAGTGACATATATTCTAAAGAAAAACCCTACATATGGACAGATAGTAGAGTACTTGAAGACCGATCAGGATGAAATATCCAAGGTGCATCTTTTGTTTTACAAGAATAACTGTAAAAAATAGGTCCAAATAAAGAGTTTTAAGAGTCTCGGGCAGTTGAACTCATGATATAATCACTCACTGACAATATTTTGTCCATCTTTATTCATCTTTCACTGTCCAGGTCCAGTTCATTAACTCTCAGGAGAAGGAAGTTGATTTAGTCCCACAGCAATTTGTGATTAAACCTCAAGGAATCAACATTCAGGTTAGCATGTCTTTACATATCTGAAGCTGAGGGTCTTTTCACGCTTTGTTTGGTTTGTTCGTTCCAGAGCACAAAAGGAGAACTGTACATTTTGTCCTGGCTCACTGTGTTTAAGAGCAAACCTAAAGATCCTCACACAAAATACATGCTTTATTGATGATTATTTAAACATGATTGTTTTTGTTTCATAGATTATTGGTTTTGTTTCATAACAGCAAACTGAAATACATACGCTGTGTCTTTCTTGAATTGTATAAAGACATCACAACGTCATCACTGAATCAATAATATTATTTCTCCTCTCAGATGAGTGATGGGCAAATGGTTGATGATGAATATGAGAATGATGCAGAAACAGCATGCTGAATAGAGCAGAGCAAAATAAAAGAAACTTTTCACAAACAGAAACCAAAATTCAATACCTCCAAAGACATCTCAGATCATAAAAGAAGATATTTTAAAGAATGCTGAAAACTGAAGGTCAGCAAAATGGCTCCGATGGCAATGTTGTGTTGATAAATTGATGATCAAACATAACACAGAACTTTTCCTAAATCAATATACATTTACATGTTTACAGCTCCCTTGGGTTGCATTTATAATTGTTACTTAAAGTTTTTGTTATGTGTAGTTTTTTGTATTTTACTTAATTGTAAACTGGTTGTGAGAGGAAGTCCATAAGTTACAGCTTTTAAATATGCATTTATAGTCAATCTATAGCTTTGTTAATGTTTTGAAATATGCAAATGCTTTGTGCTTAAATCTTAGTTCTACTGCATAAATTACTAGATATAAATTGCCCCCAAGTAGTCTAGTCTTTAAGAGGTTGTGGACAGACTTATGAAGTACGTCATTATTTGTATTTACATTTTGTTAAATGATAAATTACATTAATTAACTGCCTTTTGTGGGTAAGTAATTGTAAAGTCATTTTGTCATTATTTAACCTATTTTCTGTCCACTGTGTATACACACACAGTTGCAGCCAAAATTATTAGCCCTCCTGTTAATTTTTTACTTGTTTGTTTGATTTCAGCTAGAATAAAAACAGTTGTACATTTTTTTTTTAAAAACTTTTTAAGGTCAATATTATTAGAGCTCAGATCTCGATGATCTCGCCTGTTTGAAGAGGCGGGAAAGTAGGGTTGGGTGGGGAGGGTTCTTCGTTTCATCTTTGTTTCAATTGTCTAAAGAAAACAAACCATTGTCATCATAAAACGGCTTGCCTAATTAATCTAACTTACTTTAAAATGCACAGACTATCTAGTGAAATGTTATGTACTGTCATCATGGCAAAGATAAAAGAAATGTTATCTTGAATTTATTAATAAAACTATTATGTTTAGAAATGTGTTTAAAAAAATCTTTCCATTAAACAGAAATTGGGTAATACAATATGCAGGGGGCTAATAATTCTGACTTTAACTCACTATATGTAAAACTAAAAAAAGGTATGTATATATATTTGTACATTTATATTTTATAATAAAAATATTTGAGCTGTATATTTGTTTTCATTTGATCAGTTTTGAACTTTTATATAGTCATGTTAGTGTGCTCCATCCATTTCACTTCCATTCTTTTTGGGGAAATAATGAGGGAAAAAATGAAAATTGTAAGTGATAAATTGTATCATTAATTTGTACTAAACGAGTGAAATTAATTGTGAAAAATGATAATCTGAACCTCATGTGCATTTACACAAACTGAGAAAATCAAAAAGAGTTTTACTTGGTCATTTCATTTACCTTTTGTTGATATTATGACCTCAGCTGTCATGCACTTACTTAAACCAGTTTCAGACTCAACTCACAACAACTGACATAAACACCAGAAACAACAACAAACAAAAACATGTCCATGAAATTTGAATAAAACAACACAAACACAGACAGCCACAGATTTTGGATGACTGTTTATTATTCTCAATATTCATTTATTAATGTGGTTGCAAAATAATTTCTGGTTTTGGTGTCAGGTTATTTATGCATTTGAAGAGCATTGTTTTGGCAGGGAAATAAGGCCACCCTTCCTTTTCTCTGTCAGTTGTTGGTCATGTCTTATATTTAGATTTACTTTGTTCCTCAGTTTGGTGGAAGGTTGAATGAAGTTCACCAGAGTCAGATCAAAAACTTTGAGTTATTCCAGATGAAAATGAAGCTGATTTTCTTTCTTCTAGTCCTCTTAAAGAACGGTGAGAAGGTTATTTTTTTTCTGTTCATTTTAGAGTTTTTAGGGTTAGATCTATTATACTGCAATCATCTAGGACTGCATTTAATTCTGTGTTTTAAATTTAGTCACTGAATTTGTATCTTTTAGCTAAATTTATACATTCAAAAATTGAAAGAGGTAGACAATAATTATTTTATTAGTTCTTAAATAGATTTTTCAAATATCAATTGCTATTTCTCACGTAATTCATATTAATTTACATTATAACATCACAAAACACAAACAACAATGAACTGTGATGACTGTAAATAAGCTGTGACTGTTTTAAAATGAGGAAACATTAATGTTCTGTGAATGTGTTTCAGGAATGAATCTGACCGAAGGACTCAGTGTCTCTTATTCTTCAGGGAGAATTACTTTAAGATATTTCTTTCACCCATATTATAATACATATAAAATAAGTTGCTGTAAGTTCAATCATCGGGAGTGCCACCACATTGTGAACAACAGAGGACTAGTGGACCCTCTGTATCAAGGAAGAATATCTGGCACTATTTCCAATGGAGTTCTCGATGTAATAATTACAAACCTGAGTGAAGTGGATGCTGGCACATACAGATGTGGTGTTGCAGGGATCATTAACACCTATGAAGATGTTCATGTTACAGTTTCTGGTAAGATCTTCTGTTTCTAAATTGAAATTGTATGTTTGTAATAAGAAATGATTGAATGTTGCATTTCTTTAATTATTAATTAGACAATACGTTTATGAAAACATTAATTAAATACACTTATATTTTCCACAAATAGACTTAAGAGTTTTAAGTGGAGTCAACACAGCCCCTCTCTTACCAAAAGAAACCATCAAACCAACATTCTGGAGCTCTTCTCCATCCACACCCATTGTTTCAGAGCAACCAGCTGAAAAACCCAGGTAGATCATGTCACAAATATGACCCCAGTTCAGCCATATTAATATTAATAGTTAATAATTTGTTTAACAGTGATGGCTGGAGCACATTCCACATGCTGGCTGTTGTTTTAAGTGTTCTGGTGTTTGTGCTCATCTCATTGACTCTGCTTGTGTATCGGTTAAAGAAGAAAAAAACAGGTTGGTAAATGAATATAGATTAAGATAATTTTCAGTTACCAATATCTTTTTTGGCTGATCTTGTTGTTTTCACCCACAGATAATACTGGAACTTGTGGTTCTTCTAACATCACTGTGGTAAGGAGATTGTACTTCTCCATTGACTCATGGACATGTGGATTTAGTCCTCTAGCAAAGATATTTATATTACAGATGCAACATATTTAGTAGTAGAGACTCGCTACAATTACATTACACACACAAATCCTAAATACTAAAAACATAAGCAATAGTACGGCATTTACATTTACAGCACCATGCCTCTTGTTGTAAATGAATTTACAGTATTGTATATCTACTGTTAAGTATACAGTAATTTTCACACTGCAACTCTAAAATACAGTAAATAAATAAAAAAAAATACAGTAAATAAATAAAGCTCATATTACAGTTAAATACTGTGTTATTTACAAAAAAATCAATGAACAAGATCTGAATGACTCCCAGTTTTAATTATTGTCATGCATGTTCTCCAAAAACACTAAATTTCCCATTTACTGTTGCGAAAATGACTCATGACATTTTTGTGACCCATAGTTTCTTTATGTTTTGTGTTTTCTTTATATTCATGCTGTCCTAGTTTGCCAGTTTCATTATTTTTTAAAAGTGAACAGTTTGATCATTTAAACTGGATGGATGATTTCTGAAATGTCAGCTGTTTTCTCTACAGGAGCAGGATAATACCACTTACAGTATGGTGGACTTCATACCTCACCAGGATCAATGCCAAATATATGCCAATTTCCAGGTCCGTCGTGCAGAAGACACTGCTCATTCAGTCATAGCAAAAGAAAATGTAGAATATTCCACACTTTCGCAACAGCTGCCATAAACATTTGCAATTTCTTTGATTGCTTTGACTTTTTTTCTTTGTTTTGGTTGTTCAGTTATGTTTACAAGAAACTATCATATTAATCCACATAAATGCTGTTTCATTGTATACACTGTACAAATGCTGGGTTCCACACAATTTATGTTGGGAAAACATGAAGGAATTGAGTTAACATATTAGTTTCTACAAATTTAAGTGCATTAAACATCAAACTATTAAGATGTCAAAAAAACTCAAGAATTGTGTTGCTTCAGCTCATTTTAAATAATCGTTTAAACAAACAGCAAACGTTGTTTTTTTTTTTTTTTTTTTAGTGCGTGCGAATAATAATAAACATCTGCTTTTCTCTGAAATGTGTATCTCATTTTCATCGAAACCATTCATTTTGAGTTTTTTTCCAGTCATATGGAGAGACTTGGATACAGACACTAAAATATATAATGTAATCACTATATTTTCGGTCATTTTATTTTGAATGAATACACTGTAAATGAAAAGTATTAACTTAGTAAGTTTTAGTTAAATACAGTACACACAAGTTTGGGGTCAGTAGGATTTTTAAATGTTTTAAAATAAGCTTATCCTGCTTACCAAGGCTGGATTTGTTTAATCAAAAATACAGTACAAATTGTAAAACTGAAATGTTATTGCACTGTAAAATAACAGTTCAAAGGTAGTTTTTAATTTAATGTAGTAATTCCAGTGATATTAAAGATGAATTTTCAGCTAGTCTTCAAAGTAACATGATTCTTCAGAAATCACTCTAATATTCATTATTATTAATGGTACTGGAGTAATAATTTCATGTAAAACTTCATACAATAAAACGTTTTAACAGATATTTACCTTTATACATTTAATAAATGCCACCTTGACAAACAGAATAATTTTCTTTAAAAAAAACAAACAAACATGACTTTTGTCCAGCAGTGTATATTTCAGTATTCTTGATTCTTATAGTATATTGAGTTCCATTTATTTGTACAAGTTTTGTTGGCTTAACTGAAATAGAATTCTATTCACATTTGAGTGAAAGGAACTAATTTCATTTAGGTCATTTCCCTGTTTGATGTTTTGCAATATAATTCTTCTCTCTACTTCAGAAAGAATGAGTAAACCATTACAGAGCAAGCTAACATATACGTCTAGTGATGTGTCATATGTGACGTGGTGTTACTATCTGATAGGATTTCTCAAGTTCTTTCAGTGACCCTGGGTTAATCAAGGCCGCTCAAATGAATCAAGACAACCACATTTCACAAACCGTGCCAATGAATCCAGCAGTGACACTATATGGCACCCGTGCTTTGCCTTCATCCTGGTTTGTCATAGATAGTCAATCTGTTGACCTGTCCATGCTGATCTGCCTGCAGGTCTTCGAGGTGAAGACAATTTAATGCATTCACTGCAGAGGAGCAGTCTTAGAATAGATACACTTTATTATTTCCCAAATTATGTGAACTGAAACTATGGCCTAAGCAGAAGTGAAACTTAAAAGAAAAAAAAAAGGGTCAGGCAAGTATGTTTTTTCTATTAAATGTGCGTCATACATGCTTCCTGTACCTGCTTTATTTTCATCTTATGTTCTATTAACTCAATGCTTATTTAATTTTCTATTTTGGAAATAAATAAGATTAGACAATAGTCTTATTGCAGTTCACAGGCCATGTGTATTTCTCCAGTTATTTGTTTTTTAATATAATAGTTTCTTGAAATCTTAATGCACAGTAAGCAACACTTTTAAAGCATTTTGTAATCAGTCTAATAGTGTGATTTACATTATTTAAGAGAGGGTGCTCGCTGCAGAGCCATTTGAGGAGAGCTGAGCTCCAGCGAGGGGGAGCATGAGCTGTCGCTCCTCCCCCTGTAAGCTGTTTTAATGCATACACCAACCCCACCCCTAACCCTACCCCCAGTGACATCACTCGTAGAAGAAGTGCAAAAAAGGTGGAGCTCAAGCTTAATAACACCACTTGTTATTTAACAGTAATTCCAATTTTATATAGAACATCTATTATTGCAATTTCTGCTATTGTTTAAATGCAAACATATTTTTAATTAACACCCGTCAGCAGTTTAATTTCACTCTAGCGTTTTAGATTTCTTTGACTGTTCAAAATTGCTCATGTTTCAAAGAAATGATTGTTTTGAACAGAAGTATTAACGAGGAAGTATGGAGCCAGATCAGTCTCAAAAATAATGCGCTTGCAAAAATAAAGCTCATACAAGCACAGCACAATTCACATTTACCAAATCCAAAGTGTAAATTCAAAACAGTTTGTCAATTCACAAGTAAAAAAAAGTTTTAAAAAAATCATAAATATTAAGTGGATGTGTATATTTATGAATTGTGTGTGTCTTTTTTTTTTTAGTTTATGAATTGGATTTGCACATTTATGACGTGTTTTGAAGTTACAAATTGAATTTGTGCATTTTTGAATCGTGTTTTGAAGTTACGAATTGGATTTGCGCATTTATGAATTGTGTTTTGAAATTACGAATTGGATTTGCGTGTTCATGAATTGGGTTTTGAATTTACGAGTTGAATTTGCTCATTTATGAATTGTGTTTTTCAAATTATGAATTGGATTTGGGCATTTATGAATTGTGTTTTGATTTTTACTAATTGGATTTGCGCATTTATGAATTGTGTTTTCAAATTATGAATTGGATTTGCGTGTTTATGAGTTTTGAATTTTACGAGTTGGATTTGTGCATTCATGAATTTACCAATTGTGTTTTGCGCATTTATGATTTGTGTTTTGAATTTATGAATTGGATTTGCGCATTTATGCATCGTGGTTTGAGTTTATGAGTTGTTTTGCGCATTTATGGATTGTGTTTTGAATTTACGAATTGATTGCGCATTTATGAATTGTGTTTTCAATTTAGGAATGAAATTTTGTAAATGTGAATTGTATTATTTTGAATTGAATTGTGAATTGACTGATCTGGCTCCTTAAGAAAGATGTTGAAAAGATCCAATATCCACACCCAGCTCAATCCAAACAGTGAAAAAACTAAACAATTAGACTGATTATAGTTTAATTACAATAACTAAGCCTTCAACAAATGCACAGCATATTGAAGATGGAATTCAACCAGAAATATGACACTCTCTGAAGCACATTTCTTACAAAATGTCTGTTTGCATACTCTTAACATAAAGGTCAGGTAATGAAACTAATTTATGTGTGTGTTTGGGTGTGGTAGATGCCAAGGTAAACCAATAATTCTGAGGTAGACCTTGTGCTGCTGGAGATGATGTACATCTGCGTTTCTGGAGAAGCTGGATAAAAGTAGTTTTGTAGTGCAAAGTGCATGAGAGTGAAAAATGAGCAGAGAGGTGCTATGGCACTTGTTAATCTTCTTGTGCTGTCCTGCTTTCTTTTTCAAGTATTCAACTCCTCCATTCCTTTTTTCGCGCATTCTTTCTCCTGTTAAAAGTCTATGTTTTTGAAGTCACTGGTACAGCGGTATCTGTTGTCAGCGTATCTGGTACAGACCAAATGTGGCAGGCAGGGGCAAGTGTGGTGCTGTCTCTTGCCAGGGAAAGGAACCTGTAGGAAAGACAAAATAGCATAAAGTCTCTAAATTAGAGTTCAGTGTGATTGACAATCAAATGGAAAATGAAAAATGGAGAAATAACTTACTGCTGGTTCTGCTTCGAGATTTTGCAATGGGATTTTACTAAATGTTTCACAATTTAGGAGTAAAAAAATGTCTGGCGTAAGCATAGCTTGATTACAGTTCAATGTTTTGCCCTACAACAAAAAAAACTGCACATGCCCATTTTGAACACATGGTTTCTTTTCTCTCTATATATTTATTTCGCAAATGTATAATTATTTATTTATAAATAAATATAAGAATAAGAATTTAAATTAAAAAATAGAAAAAAAATTCAAAGAGGGGCTAATAATTCTGACTTCAACTGTGTATATAAATGTATGTGAGCTAAAAGTCCCCATGAAATCAAAATCGAAACTTTTTTGCCGGTTAGAATAAATAAGCTTCATAGGGTCATCATTTACTCACACTTATTTAAAACCTATTTGAGTTTCTGTCTTCTGTTAAACATAGAAGTTATTCTGAAGATCTCTGGCACAGTAGCTGGCACCTGTTGATTTTCTTATAAAGATTTGTTTTCTTACTATGGAAGTCAGTGGGTATCATCAACCATCATTTGAAAATATTCTTTTGTGGAGAAACTAGTAAAGCGAGAGTAAACAGTGAGGTATATTTTTATTTTTGAGTGGGATGTCCCTTTAAAGTTATGGCTAAGCTAGTACACTCCAAAACACATATTCGACATGTACAGTTAAGTGCATAAATATGCAGACATCAACACAACTCTTAGCTCATTTAGCAACATTTTTAGCTCAATACACCAACACAATGAATTTGAAATGAAACAAGATGTGCTTTAACTGGAGACTGTCAGCTGTAAATTGAGGGTATTTACATCTAAATCAGGTGACTGGTGTAGGAATTATAAAGCTGCTGTCACACTAGAGTTTGATAATGCGAAATTCTGTAGTATGGCGCTGCGAAAAGGGGCAGGAATAAACAAGATTATTAGGCATTAAAAAAGTGAGCGATTACACCATGTTTTAATTTTCTGTCCAGAGAGGTCATGTTTTGACCCTCTGTTGGTCTCACACAGTCAAGTGATGCGATTCTGCACGTCAGAGTTCACCAAGTTTGAACTTTGCACCGCAGCAACCTGCAAAACTTGAAATGCATGACCCTGCATTTCCAGTCTGATGCATTCGCGTGCGTATGAATGGAAGTCTATAGGAGAAAAAGCCCAGTGTGACCACAGCTTAACAGTTTGAATTTGTGCCTCCCACTTGTTAAGGGTCCAAATGTAATTGGACAATTGGCATCTAAGCTGTTCCATGGCCAGGTGTGTGTTATTCCCTTATTATCCCAATTACATTGGAGCAGATAAAAGGTCCAGAGTTCATTTCAAGTGTGCTATTTGCATTTAAAATCTGTTGCTGTCAACTGTCAAGATGAAATCCAAAGAGCTGTCAGTCAAGCAAGACATCATTAGGCAAAAAAAAAAAAAAAAAAAAACATCAGAGAGAGCAAAAACATTGACCGTGGCCAGAACTGTTTGGAACATTCTAAAAATGGGAGGCACACATCCAAACAGTTGTTATTCCTACACTGTTCACTTGATTTGGATGTAAATGCCCTCAAATTAAAGCTGAAAATCTGCAGTTACAACACATCTTGCTCATTTTCATTTTTCA